ACAAGTCCAGATGCCGATAAAGCGACACTAAAGAATACTTATTACGTGCGCGCTTATCGCAGGGAAATTAGCGGAAAATTAGCGCAGAATTAAGACACACAGTAATGTGCCAGCACACAAAACGCGCTGTGGTAGCGTAGCGGTACCATTCTTGTTGACGTAAAGAATTATGGGATGGTCGTTCGGTCAGTCGGCGGCAACGGCGGCGGACAATCCAATTATCCCGCGAGAGAGTCGCGAAGCCATAAACTGCCATCGCCGACCCTTGGCGATGGTGCAGGCGGCGGCAGAGAGAACGATAGAGTAATTATGAATAGGTGAGCGCGCATATCGCGCACGGACATCGAAATCGGATCTGCCAGGTGGAAATTCGTTTGAAACCAATCATTAGCGCTTCCCTCTCGCTCGCTCGCTTTTTGTCGTATATATACCCGCGCCGCCCGCCGCCCGTAATCGCCGCCTTTCCGAAAGTCTAATAACGAGGATAACGAATATTCCTCCGAAACAAATTGAAATCCAATCTCGCGTCTCGGCGAATCTGTCGGGAGCAAAAGTCAATGCACCATTGATTTTCCGCGTGGCAAGCGTGACCCCGGCCGGGTTGGACTTACGGTAATTTCAGGGGCTGAAAAAAAAACGATATCGTTCGATCGGGCGGCGGGCGGGAAGAAATGAATTTTTTTGTCGGAATTTTCGGAATCGAATATTGTATAGAAACAAAAATTTTGCGCGTCAGCCTTGGCAATTGTTAAAGGGGCCACGGGGCGTGACGTGAGGATCGAAAATAGGGACACGTAAGTCACGATCGCGAAATTATTCGTATATAATTATCAGTCGGAAAATAAGCATGGGCAGAGTACTACATTTCGTAAAGGAGAAAACAACTTGTTAGATAAATCATCTAGGAGATTAATGGAGCTTCCGGCTCAATGTAGGGATACGCAAGATAACGGGGGATGGTGCAAAACTTTTTTTTTTCTTTCCTTTTTTTGATATATGTCCCTTGGAGTCATGTTACGCGTACATTAGTTACACGAAAAACGACGCATTTGGCAGACACGAAAAAATGAAGACTGTCGGTGTATTTCCGACAGTCATGGTATCGCGATAATAAGTATTATTGCACGTAGCAACGGCGCAGGTATAACGGTGACTAATTAGCGACTGGCTGATTGTGTACTTAAAGATTCTCAGAAAAAGTATGTGGTCATAATGAAAGGCTTTGTTTCCTGAGGGAAGGAAGAGATATGCATATCGTCAACTGAAATAAGAGAACATGTATCGTTCGCTTGTTTATTTCCCACCCTATCTCTTTGTGCATATTTTAAACTGACAATGAGCGATAGGAAAAAATGGTACGTGTTATCTCTTTTTTTGCATTGTTAAGGGCCATGATGTGTCTGTGAATGAGAATTAATTACTGAATAATGAAGAATTAATATTTATAATTGCGTATAATAATTTTCAAACCATAACGTTTCAAACGTTCCGTAACTATTAATTGTATATGTATATTGTTAAATAATGTAAATATTATTTTTTATTAATTAACTTAGAAGTAAAATAAGATTAGAAGTTATGGATAGATATCTATTTATTGTTAGTGCTTGTAGAAAAAGGCATCTACCTTTCGGAGATCTGATTTATAATAAAGGAATAAATATTATGTATATTCCGTCATTAACGGTACTCATTTCTGAATTGCTTTGGAAGTTGCGTGATCTTGTATCACGCTCCACGCTCATGATCCCTAAACGCGTCACATCTCATCGAGCTCTTCTCTTCTTCGCGTAACTGCTACTCACGCAACATTCAGCGAACCAAGGCGTATAATCCGTGTTGCGTCTCAAGTATTTAATACCGTTAGGACGTGAAGGAATTTATCGTCGAGACGCTGTATTGATCTTTACTTAAGCGAAGCGGCGTACGCGCGCGCGCGCGCGCCCGCGTGTGTGTATGTCAGTAATCCTCGTTTTGCGTGATCATCGCATTTCCGAAAACCACCGTGGTGTGATCGACAAAATCACGCGGAAAAAAAGCGTGCGAAACACAACGAGAGCGCCCGTATTTTTTGTCCGGAAAAAAAAAACTTTTCGGCTTAACGCGAATCGGATTAACACGGTAGTCTTCGATAATGCAGGATATAGCGCGCAAATTCGGGACCATCTGCATCCCATGCCGGAATGCCTTTTATCCTTGTATAGCAATTCGTTTGCACACGAGAATTTCCATTTTAGTTTCGCGAACGAAATCTGATGTTTTAGCGCGTCTAAATCTGCGGTCTGGCTATCACGAAATGTTTTTTTATTTGCGATAATCAAATTATCTCTTATCAAATAGAAACGAAGTTTTTTTCATCGCGATATTGCATTAGCTTCTGAGCTGTGCATTTGTCAAATGATGCGCTCCACCGTCCTAAAATTAAAAAAAAAGTAAATAACGGATTACGAGATCTGACACTTACGACAGCGGGAGAAAGTGGAGTAGTTCACAATTATTGTATATATGTATATGAGAACATTTTCATCGTGATTCATAAATAATCATCCCTACACCATTTTGCAACCAATTTGGATATGCAGTACTCGAAATCAATATTAGTTTCGAATTTGTAATACTATAACTAACTCGATGAATCTATAGAGTGTATCTTAAATAGCACTAATTATATAGCGTTATATATATATATATATATATATATATATATATACATATACATATATGTGTGTATATATTCACTTAAAAAAAATGAGTCGAAAAGTCCTGAATGATTTTTTTCTACAATGCTCAATGAAGCGATCATTACTACAATAATTAATGCTTCATTGAGCATTGTAGAGAAAAATGATTCAGGATTTTTTAAATCAATTTTTAACAAGGAATGGCGCTGTATGATTAGCGAGCGCTATTTAAGAACAATTTTTGTCTGTACAATGCTCAATAAAGCAGTAATTACTGCAGTAGTGACTGTTTTATTTAGTACTGTAAAAAAAAATGGTTCATGACTTTTGACTCAGTTTTATTTTTGCAAAAAAATAACCCTATATAATTAGTGAGCGCTGTTTAAAGTACTTCTGTATATTTTAAAACCGCATTTAGCACACAGAATGTGATTTCCAATTTTACATCTTATTTCTATCGCACGTAAAATCGTTTGTGCAGCACATCCGAAAATAAGGAGGTACGTGTTTAGTCTAAAGGATCTATAATTAACTATTTCACATTTGCCAGTACTATAAATATCGTCAACGCACACGTCCGTACGTGTCTCTTGCAATACGCGGTCATAATTTTAAGACTTCATTACCACGCCGTTTAACACACCTGGGGAGCACAGTATGTTACGCAACATTGGTACTTAACGTGTAATGCACTGAAGGCACCTAAGTCATGTTGACTTAGGTGTCTTTGGACCCCGCACGTGTGTCCTTGGCGTTCGAATGTACAGGCGATAAACCTTCAAATTCTCGCCGAGTTTAAAATCGATTCGTATATAATTCCTGCGGAACCGGACCTATACGGGGAGGGAGAAGACCACCCCGTGTATATACACAAGATGCGTAATATGCCGTCGCGTGTCAATCTGACGCACTTACCTCCACTCAGCGCGCAATAACTCCTTGCTTCGAACGCGGATGATGTACGAGCCGGGTATATATTCACACACGAATTCGCGCAAGCGAGTGCATACGTGTGTGTGTGTATGCGTGCACGCGGCCCCATACATCGGGCCAAGGCTACACCGCATCGCGGGGCGCAAGTACTTCCAAGTTATTACGCCTTTGACATCAAGTACGTACTCGTGCGGTACGCGCTATTTCGATTCCAAGTTTCATAATGTCGGGGGCTCCTGCACTAGCAACGCCACTTCCCGTTTCCAGCATCCGCCTCGATTGGTATAGGTGCTCCTGTCTATCCCCCTGCCATAACCCATCAGTCGAAACTGCAACTTTGATATCGGCGAATGCCCAGCGTCGACGTCGTCGCCTTTGCGAGAGAAACCGATCATTGAAATAATGGCGGGGACCCCTGCCACGTAATTCATTTCACCTCTGTCTGCAGTAAAATTAAATTCCGAGCTCTTGTAAAGTTCGTTTTTGAAACTATTTCCTTCCACCGTGACCTTCTTGCTCAATTTGTGTTATCATATCTCATCGAATTTCATTTTTTATACACAATTGACAATTAAAAATTACTGTGGAAAATTGTAGTTTATGTGATAAAAAATCAAATGGTTCTTTTACAAGCTAGAAATTTATCGCAACGCTTGGCAAGTTCATCGCTCCTATGTGTAAAAATGGATTTAGTTAATTTAGTCACAAACTTTGAATAATAATGATAACTAATATATATAAATGCGCGCATGACACGTTTTAGGGAGTGAATAAAATTTTGTCAGAATAAAAAGACTCTGCGGACCAGAATTCCTAAAATTCCTAAGAATGGGATCCGATGCACTTGCAGTTGTATAATATGTGCTAGAAGACATCACTGCGAGCAATGGATGGCGCAATATAAGACAGGTTCCTCGGAGATTTGAGCAGTTTTTTTTTTTTTTTAGAATTCGAGATATGCACGCGCTACGCGAGGTATTATCTTTTTTCCCCTCGGCTTTTTGCTGATTCGGATCTGCTATCGATTTTTCGCGCATTCCTTCTCGCATTGGAAATATTCTCGCATCGGCAGACTCATTTTCAGCGCAATCAAGTCGCTTGAGATGTGTTCAAATAATGAGAAATAACTTTGATGAGACATTAAAACATGTACAAGAAGGTCGCTAAAAAATTACGCGCGCGTTGTTGCCATAAAAAATATACGAAACGAGTATGAAACACAAGAACTTAGATAAAATCGGAATAATTTGAGAAATAATTCGAAACCGGTGTAGCATTACGTCATTTACGTGATGCGTGTGCACACATTACATCGTCGACGGAGAGAGGGAGGG